ATGGCTAGCATGATGATAGTGATCCTCGTAAGTTTGATATTCTCCAAGTAAATCTCTTTCTTCACTTCGCCATGGAAAGAATAGCAAGAGCTTTTCTCTGTAGTGATTTTCAGTGTCTGTCTTCACATTGTAACGGACATAGCGGATCACTTTTCTGTGTTTTCTTCGCTTAATAAAAATACCATTTGGTAAGTTTAGTTCTTTCCATGTTTCTGGAATTTCTAAAAGATCTTCGTTTTTTGAGTCAGAAGTGCATATGTCAACATCATTGATATCCTCATTTGATACCCTTTCTTTTAGGATATGTTATGTCAAGTTCAGAAACATAATCAGCAAGACACATGTTGTTTAGTTGCTTGTGACGTTTGGCATATCGTGGTATGTCAGTGGAATCTGCCTCTTTTTGCTTCAGAAGAAATGTTCTTTGACCACATTCTGATGTGTTAATGAATACATCTCTTGATGACTTTGTCAGAGGAAGTTGCAAAGCTAGATATGCGGCTTCTTGTGCGCTGACTTCAACACTGTTTAGAAATTTGTTTCCAATGTGACGGACTTGATGCTTAATATACATGTTGCCTCTACGAGTCTCTTTACATGATTCATCGAGCAGCAAACTCATGCCTCTTTGAGACTTACTGATGTAAGCTACAATGTACACAGCACAAGCATAAGGGTCTAGTACAAATTGTAAATCATGGTTTGCCTTCCAAGCTTCAATCAATGATGTCATATATGGATTAATTCGTAATTCACTTGGTTGTCTTTTCAGAATAACTTTTGGTGATTTGAGAGATGATCTAACACACAGAATATATTCTTCTTCTGACATCTATGCTACTTGACAGAGGAAATCTGCAAAGGTTATATTTTCCATGTCTTTTAATGCTGTTAATTTTTGTTGAATTTCTGAATACTTCTTTTTATAACTTTCATGCTCTTCATCTAGAGGTTCTAGAACCATTGTCCGTGGCATTGGGGGTAGTGGAAAACCAAATCTGCATAAAGCTTTTTCCTTTTTTCTGCAAGTTTTGGAATGTTTATGAGTTTGTATGTCAACAAGGGAGGACAGATGGTCGGGGACATTTTTCTGGTATGAGGTATGGTTATCAACATATGTAGCTATATTCTCTTTTGAGTCTACCTGATATTTTGAAGCATCCCGAATCCACAAAAGCATGTGTATGTGAGGTGAGCCTCTGTTGAAACTCTACATGGTAGAAATAGACATTCAATATTCCAAGTGGGGCATGCTCAGACTTCAAAACTAAATGGATAAACTGCTGAACCTGATTGTCAAAATATCTTGTACATGTTACAGGATCTTTTTGTACTAACTTAGTTTTATCAATCCAAGTCATGGTGCTTGTCTGTTCCTCCGAGTATGAAACTTTGTCATTTAACTCTCCTATGATTTTCAATAGGTCATGCCATCTTGTGTCACCTGCTGACAGGGAACCAAACCAAGTTGGTAGCCCAAGTTGCCTTATCATGGCAAATACATCTTTTTTTCGTTTTTCTAAATACGGAGGAGAATTCCTAAGAGTTCTAAATATGTAAAAACCCTCATCAAGGTTTACCAATGTGTTCATCTGTGTTGGATTTAGAGCATCTGCTGCAGTAACATTCTTGTCTTTACTTTTGCATCTTCGAAGTGCCAAATATACTTTGTCAGAAATTTGCTTCATCTGTATTTTTTTCATTTTGAAGAACAAGTTAGGTACAGAACTTGCTGCTCTTCTGTCAATATTTCGCAGTTCCCATTTAACAATGTTACTATAATGAACTTTCACATCTCTCTCAGAATTTGGTACTCGGCGATTGCCACAAAAAATTGTAGGGAAGGATATTTCTTCTGCATCTTTGTCAGAATATAGACTTAAAAGACACTGTCCTTCACCAGGAGCAAATGTGTATACAGAATCATTCTGAGGACATAATGGTTCTATTCATGTGTCTGCGTTACAAATGACACGGTCATCATCTTCTATTTCACTGAAAGTGTCCGACTCATTACCTTCATCATCAGATTGCTTATTATCTTGGGCAGAAGAATTTGTCATAAATGTTTCAATGATTTCCTTGTTTCCTTTATCAACTTTTGAAAACCAATGTTCGTCTAATTCTACACCCGATTCTCTATATAGAGCACCATTTTTGAAAAGCCAATGTAAAGCTTGAAGAACACAATGAGGTCGAATATTTTCAGTAAATTCACATTTTTTGTATGACAATTTTCTTTTTATTTTAACTATTGTAGTATTGTAGTTTGTTCAAACTGAAGTGGCAAAGCTTTGATTGTTGGTTGTATATCAACGGGAACATTCACCACATTTCCATGAATATTCAACTGACCACCTCTTGGAAGTTCTCGCATCTGCATAAAAGGAATTCGCAATGCAACTAATCTTTCTTCAAGTTGATGCAAATGCAATTGTGCTGGCTTCTCTGGGAAAAACATTTTATTTGCAGCTGATAAAGCTGGCATTTTGCCATTCTTTACATTAGTTAAGCATGTTCTACAAATCCACTCCTTGTTGTTTTTTTATTTGTATGCTGTGGTACATTTTTGGAAAAGTGAACTTTGGTCAACATTTTCCTTTACTTTGTGACAGAATGCTTAAACCACGTTTGGTGACAACTTGTACACACATACACTGGGCCTTGTGATATAACCTTGTGAAATATGTCAATCACATCATTCAGACTAGATCCCTTTTTGTAACAGATTTCTTTCTGTTTATATGCAGGAATTTTTCTATAGATCCCTTTTTTTCCCCTAGAGTGTTTTCTTTCTTTTGTAACATTTCTCAAAATTTGTCGAGAGCATTGTTTTGCTATTCTCTCCCTTTCTTGGTAATATTTTTCTATAGAATTTTTCTATAGATCCTTTTTTCCCCTAGAGTGTTTTCTTTCTTTTGTAACATTTCTCAAAATTTGTCGAGAGCATTGTTTTGCTATTCTCTCCCTTTCTTGGTAATATTTTGAAGTCCTAGCTGTCTTTTTACTCAGCAGCTCTTTTGTTCTTTCACGATTTCTATAAATGTCATCAGCTCTTATTGTACGTTTCAGTTTTGATTCAGCCAATTTAAGATCTGTCCTAGTTCTAGCCTTCCGCTTACTTTAAGTTCTTTTTTGCGTTCATTAATGCGATAGTTCTCATCAGTTCTTTGTTCACGCTTCTTTTTAGCTTCCCGAAGTTTGAAGCTTGTTTTGGTTCTAACTGTACGCTTGTTTTCACGTTCTTTTTTCTGCATATTCAATCGATAATTCTCATTAGTTCTACGGTTACGTTTTTGTCTGGCTTCTTTGTCTTTAAACATTTCATCAGTTCTAGCTTTCTGTTTACATTCAAGCTCTTCTCCGTTCACTTGCTCGATAACTTTCATCAGATCTACGGCTCTGTTTCTTTTTTGCTTCTTCGTCTTTAAAGCTTTTATCAGTTCTAGCTTTCTGTTTACATTCAAGTTCTTTTCTCCGTTCACTTGCTCGATAAGTTTCATAAGATCTACGGCTCTATTTCTTTTTAGCTTCTTTGTCTTTAAAGCTTTCATCAGTTCTAGCTTTCTGTTTACATTCAAGTTTTTTTATTCCGTTCAGTTGCTCGATAAGTTTCATCAGATCTACGGCTCTGTTTATTTTCAGCTTCACAAACTTTAAAGTTTTCATCAGCTCTAGCTATTCGTTTATTTTCAAGTTCGTTTTTGCGTTCACTTGTTCGATAAATCTTATTAGATCTACGATTTTGTTTCAATTTGGCTTCATAAACTTTGAAGTCTTCAACAGATCTCGCTTTTCTTTTCTTTTTGCAACCATCTTTTTTCTCTTTTTCGTTGTAATATTCATCTTTTCATTGCTTTTGTTTGTAATCTCTGTTGTATTTTCTTCTAATTTTTCATTATAAGATTTTAAAAAGTTTGTTACATTGCACTGTTTTTCAAGATTAGCTGTTTGTTCTTTCTTTACTCTATTTGACTCTTAAAGTATTTCTGCAGTAGTTCTAACCTTTTTTCTTTCATCGAATTAGAGGGGTGAGAGGGTGTTAAAGCTTGCTGTATTTCAGAAATAAGTCTCATCTATCTCAAACTGCTCAATCATGGTCAGATTTAGACTAGCACAAAACTTGGTCATGTAATCAACAAGTTTACTTATGCAATGAAAAGTGCAGAAAACAGCTCTTCATCCTTGTGCATCTAGGAGATCATTACCACGAGAATGCGAATCAAAGAAATGAAAGTGTTCTTCAGTTGTTTTCCAAAATGCAGAAGTAATTGAACCTACTGTTATCAAAGCCATAGTTTCATGTTCAAACACTGCAATGACAGCATTATGTAGGGTGAGGAAATTGTTATTGTGTCCATTGCCAATGGTTCCAACTAAAAGATCATGTCTTTCAATGTGACATTGATAGGATAAAGAACAGATCACATATGGAAGATCTTCGAATTGCAGTAAGTAAGATCTGAAATTACTGCTAATTTGGAGGTCAGATATAACTGTATGATACAGTTCATCTCCTTTGTGTAAAACTTCATCAAGGACATTGGTAGTGACAGGCTTCTGCAGTTTTGCATAAAAAAGCATCATAAGTGAATTGCATGTACATTGACGGTCTCTTGAAATCCTTGGGAATCTGGCATCAGATTGTGAAAAATTAGCAAATACATGGTGCGGCATTTCATTGTTGTTCATTGGATTTGATAACTATTCAATCCTTTTGTTTATCTGAATCGCCATTTCATCAGTTAGAACATAGTCATTTTGAACCTTCTGTTTCTTTATTTCATTTCTTCCAGTGCTGTATATATTTTTCCTCTTGTGTGGTTTCTGCTGTATGTTTTCTTTGGGGTTATTTGTACTACTTTGCTCCGAAGTATTTACTTTAGTGCAATTGACAATATTTTGGGGTTTGTCATGCTTTTGTATGCCTGTGCATTGCTTTTTTCCAGTTGTTTCTTGCTTTGAAGACTTTGGATTTGTTCTTAATTTGTTACTTATTTGTTTATTTGAGATTTTACACTGTTTGTTATTTCTTTGTGGCTTTTGTTTCAATTTTGTTTCAGAACTAGACTCATTAATTGTCTTTATTTTCATATTTCGTGTTTTGGTCTTCCTTCCATTTGCTACCTGAAAATTACATGAGAATCTTAGTTTTGAAGCGGGCATCGAAAGTGAGCTAAACACAAAAGTTTAAAGCAAAGATTCATAGCATTCTTTAATTTTGAGTCACTGGACCATTAAGTCTGGATGATACTCTTTAAATGTGTGTTGAGATGTCCACTATGTGATCTAACTACAATTTATACCAAGTGTGGTTAAAGTTGGTTATATACTAAACTTTTCCCCTACTTAACCCAACTAGGCCTCTATCCTGTCGGACACAATTGTATGTATTAAGATATCTAGAGATTAATTCAATATTTTTTTACGCATCACTCAGAAAACCCTACAAACAGTAAATTATCTTGGCCCCCGTCTATTGAACGATCTGAATGAGTTCTATGAGTTAGACTGATCTGTTCTCTATTTCTCCTTTCTTTCTTGTTTAACTCCTAATAATTTGATAACAAGCGAAACCTTCAAATGAGTTTTAAGAAAGATCTAAGAAAAGTTTGTCTGAAAAATAGCAATAACAAGCTTCAACTTACAAAATTGAACTGCAATTACACAAACTTTATCAAGTCAATAGCGATTTTTAAGGTGTTGCAATAAAAGAGTGAATTTTACAAGATCTGTTGTCATTTGGACGATTTAGTTTTTTGAAAGTGGGTCAAAGGTCACAGTCACGGTAAGAAGGTCTGCAAGTGTAGTAGCAATGGAAACGTCTTGTCACAAGAAACACATGTGAAATACCCAAGCTGTATCCTCATTAGTATTGACACAACACTGCTTCATAAAAACTTTAACCTTGGGGTATAGCAATAGCTACCCTGGACTTTGAAATTTCAGGTTGTCATTTGACTAAGTAGCCCTTTTAATGTATAATTATAATGGCCACCTCCCCTGGGCCGGGGATATAATCGATCCCATGCCTTGTAATGGAGCATGCCCGGTGTGAATCACACCGGGGAAATTTTTAGAATTAATTGACAGCACATTGGTCCCCATTTTTAAATTGGGTTGTAGTATGAGCTATTTCTTTTGATATACTGCACAACTTGAAGTTCAACTCTGCCTAAATGTTGTGAAACTAAACCAAGTTACCATGTTGAAAAGTTTGTCTCTCTTGGCCGATATAGGTCAGAAGTCCAAATATGGGTGTCATGACCCATTATGGAAATTGTAGTAAACATGGCGGCATAAGTAGTAATACTATATGTGGCCATGCAGGCCATATATAGAAAAAAATAACTAAGATAACATTACGTGTGATCTGCCATGGCAGTCGTTTGTGCATTGGTAAGGAGTAGTTTTTTCAACAATTTTGCAATACTTTGATAATAATAATAATATACAGCATTTATATAGCGCCCTATATAATTTATAAAATTACTCTAAGGCGCTTTACAACATATGGATAATAGTAATGGTTATAATTGTGAAAACAAACAACAAAGGCTTGCAATCACTTTCATACATTTAACAAGCAATGTGCACATAATTGAACAAATAAAAGGGTGGTATTTACATGACGTCTTTGCAAAGATTCTAAAATGCAGACGTGAAGAGGTGAGTTTTTATGTCCCTCTTGAACTTGGCCAGGGTATTCGACTTCCTAATAGCAGATGGTAAGCTATTCCACAACGTAGCCGAAACCCTCCCAAAGCATCTGTTTCCGTAGGTCACAGTACGAGATTTTGGGACACACAACAAAGATTCTGACTCCGACCGCAGTGATCTTGACGGCTGATACAGGGTAACAAGTTCCTGTAGGTACTGAGGAGCTGTTCCATTCAGTGCCTTGTATGTGTATACCAGAATTTTGTACTGCGACCTGTATCGTACAGGTAACCAGTGCAACGAATAAAGCGCAGGTGTGATGTGCTCTCTCTTTCGAGTACGAGTAACTAGCCGTGCTGCAGTGTTCTGAACCCTCTGCAGACGACTAGTTAGTTTGTCAGATATACCACAGAGCAGGGCGTTACCATAATCCAACCGAGAGGTAACAAGTGAATGCACCAAAATCTTGCATGCATCTGCAGTTAGAAACTGCCGAATACAGCCGATGTTCCTGATCTGGTAGTAACAGGATTTGGCAATAGCGTTCACTTGTTTCTCCATGTTCAGAGAACTGTCAAAGTATACCCCTAGGTTTTTAACAGCTGGAACAGTCTCAATAGTTCTGGCACCAACCTTGAGCTGGAGAGCCATTGTTTGCTGACACTTTGGGGAAAAGACGATTAGTTCCGTCTTTTCCTGATTAAGTTTAAGCATGTTGGCGTTCATCCAGATACTGATATCTGTCAGACAAGCTTCCAGACTTTCTGAGACTGTATTCCAACTGTCCTGTGGTTTTATGACCATGTAAATTTGTGTGTCATCAGCATAGCAATGATAGCGAAGGCTATGGCGACGACAAATCTCTCCAATCGGTTTGGAGTACATACAATATTTTCGTGGTCCTAACACCGACCCTTGAGGAACCCCGAAATCTAGTACTTTGTCATGTGAGGTGGCAGATCCGATGGCAACACACTGTCGTCGTTCACTCAGGTATGACTGTATCCAGCATAGTGCGGTATCAGTCACTCCATAAGAGTATTCCAGACGTTTATAAAGTATGCCATGGTCGATGACGTCAAATGCAGCTGACAAGTCCAGCATGACAAGCACCGCTCTGCACTTGTTATCCAATGCAGAAGCTATATCACTATGTACACGTAGGAGGGCCGTCTCAGTAGAGTGTCCCATGCGGTAGGCCGATTGCATGTTGTCATGGAGACTGTTTGCATGGAGATGAACCTCTAAACGCCGGGACACAACCTTCTCCAAGATCTTAGACAGAAAAGGCAGATTTGAAACTGGGCGGTAGTTTTTCAACTCCTCCTTGTCCATTCCAGGCTTTTTTAACAATGGTCTGACATGTGCCTTCTTGAAACATAATGGAACCTTTGACTCAACCAATGATTTATTCATGATTGCGGTAATCAAAGGAAGCAGTGCTTCAAGACATTGCTTTAATAGGTCTGTAGGCAGTGGATCAAGCTCACAGGACTTCGATTGCGAGGTCATGATAATGTTGCGCAACTCGTCCTGGGTTGTTGGTGAGAGCTTTGTCAATGGTTCCCCATCAAATGCAATGTCAGCAGTCATGACAGAGATGTCAATGTCAGCAGAGGTGTTCACTTCGGTAATATTTTTCCTGATTGAGCTGATTTTATTCAGAAAGTAATCACTGAACTTGCTTGCTAAGTCTTTGTCAGAATTACAGCTTGGTAGGATAATTTCACCTTTCTGTCCCATTAGACTTTGATAATGTATACTCATATGAGTCTTGAATTATATACAATCTTATATTACATGTAGCACTTTTTATTTTGCTCCATAAGTTGGCATAGGACCGCTACTACGCAATATATTAAAAAATCTCTCGTCATCAGAAAACTACATTATA